CTTTGTTTGAAATAATGAATTTCCCTCCACATGGCAGAAGCTATAAAAGGCCCTGGAAATATCTCCATTTTGCCTCTTTCCTGCTCAAACCTATGAACTTACACTAATGGGAGCATTCTAACCAAGGGACTGAGGATCTTCCAATAATTTGGAAGCAATTAACAAGCCAGCAGTTTAGTCTATCACTGCTACAAGCCTGATACAATAAATGCAAAGTTTTGGGATGTATTTGGTTCCTTTAACCAATTTTAACTCTCACCTTTCTCTCTCTCTCTTTTTATAAATAAACCTTTAGATTTTAGATACTAAAGGATTGGCAACAGCGTGATTATTGGGTAAGATCTGAGTTGTATATTGACCTGGGTGTGTGGATGGTTCTTTAGGATCAGAAGAGCCTTTTATTTGATTAAATTGGTTTTAAAGAACCACTCATCTTTAAGTCTAATGTTTTTCGTGGTGATACAAGGACTGGAATGCCTAAGACAACTGCTTTTCTGACTTCTTGTTAGCCAGTGTGATGAAACAGAAGTTTACATTTGTTGCTGGTTTGGTATATCTTATGGGAGAATAACCACCAGTTTTGGGGTGTGTCTGCCCTAATTCTCAGCAGTTTGTTTTAAATTTGATATTCTTAGTGGTAACCCACGAAGGCATGGTTACAGGTTGCCATAATGGATTCCACTTTACTTAGATGAAATCCATGGGTGTCCATCTTAGTCTCCAAGTGGAAAACTGGTGCTAAAATTGTTTCCAAGGAAAACCGTTACGTATTTGTTTCCATAATGTAAAGTTTTTTCAGAATGGTAGTTAACCTACACTTACTACAGATTGTTCTCACAGTGGCTGGACCACACAGAGCCACTACTTCCTGAGCTGAAAGACTCACATCTGTTAGCCAATGACTGTAGCAAACTCAAACTTCTGTGTGAGCCACCCACTAGAAGGGGACAGAAAGCCAGACTGAGTGAACACATGTTACAGTAGGAGGGCAGAAGTAGCAATATGTAGCTGCTACGGTCAACCCACGCTTCCCTGGCTATTTACGCTGAAGCTCAAAGCCAAAAAGTTGTCTGAGCATGTTGGTGTTGGAGATATTTATCAGGGAAATAATGTTGTGGGGTTAACAATGGTCCCAAATAAAATTAAAAAGGCAAAGAGCAAAGGTAAGACTTCAGTAAATGAACAAAACTCAATAGGTAAACTACCAAAGTCCACACATGTACAAAGTCAACAAAACCAAACATGCATGTATAATGTCTGCGTTGATGCACTGCATTTGGTCATTTATGTTTTAGATCAATCATCATAAACTGAGTTGAAGTGAAACTCCACAGCCCAGTCTCCTTAAACTTCGAGACACTTTGTTACTGGTTCCTATAATCTCTAAAAAGGGCCAAACCAAATATCTGAATATCTTCAAATTTTGAGAAAGTTTGGCTCCAGATGACAATTTTGCCATTGGCTTCACTGGGAATTAGATAAAGTCCCAAATTATTCCATTACCCTGTTATAGCCCTTGCTAGATAACATCAAATGCTAAGCCTAGGGTATGATGAAAAGGAACAGGTACATTGGATAAGGAAGAAGCTTCATACTCTGGGAACAACTGTAATTATATGTAAGAATCTCTATGATAAAATTGTATTCAGTTTCCCATAGGACACAATTGTGGTGCAGTAGACACTGGCCTGAACACAAGGCAATGCAGAGCCACAACACTCCTCCAGGCAGAACAAATCCCAGTCTAATGTGCTAAGAATTCTCAAGATGCACCAGTTCTCTCCAAGGGCAACCTACGCGCTCTGGCCCCATTCCTCACCTCTGTTGAGGCACTGTGCAACTCTGGGTGCGTGCGTGTAGGGTGGGGATAGTAAAGATGTTCCTTGCAGGGACATGACGCTGCATGCTGTGCAAGAACCAGTCACAATTTGGCCGTCAGTCAGTAGATAAGCATTTCTGCATGGGCCCTGGGGTATTTATTTGATTCAGCCACCTCCAATAATTGAAACTGTTCTTCCTCATCATCTTTCTGCCTGGTGCAATTAAAATCCACAATCATGCTACATCTGTTTAGTGAAATTATCATCTCCAGTGCATCCTAGAAATGAAAGAGCACGCCTGGTACAGAAGGTCTACATGCTGTATTGATGTGAGTGACACACTAAGCCATGTTGCCAGTTGATTAAATAAATCCTTCAAATACAAACAGTTGCAGGAAGAACTGACAGATGTATATTTTCTTCTGGGACTTATGAAACCATCTGGCTTTGTGATTTCCAGATGGAAGTTTCACAGCGAGTTCTCACTTTGAGGTTTTAAGGTATTCCAGAGATCTGTATTTCCTTTTTCAGATTTGTGAGCTAAAGTATCCCCAGCATTGAAAATTATTGCTGACTAATGAAAATTGAATTTATTAGATAGTAAGATGTGTATTAGATTACCAAAACATTCCCTTAATAAATTCATTCTATTAAAAGCTGTTGCATGATTAACGAAAAGAAGCCCTTCAAAGCAGCGTGGAGAACATCAGACTTCAACAGCTTACAGCAAACTATAATGAGACAATTAAGCCATAAAATTGTTTTCAGTCCTGCTTTTGAATTTAGTTGCTATATTTAACTTTATGCCATAAGGCAATCTCTCAAAGTTGCCTTTCTGCTGTTTCAGAATAACTTGCTTGACACCCTTATTGTAAAGCCGGACAAGGACAAATATACTAGTACGAAGGACACTGAAAAGCTCTAAAAACCCAAGTTATAATATAAGAAATGACAAAAGCTCAAACAGAGATACATAACACCAAACAAAACAGACAAAACAAGACAGGTATTTTAACAAAATAAGAGGTTAAAAACTCTGGGGAACATACCCATTCCCAACTCAAACAGTTAAAAAAAAAAAAAAAAAAAAAAAAAGGTTCTCTCATCTTTTCACTTTTATCAGGGCCTCTGCTCTCCAGACTCTGGACCACTCCACAGAGCCTTCCATTAGGTCTTTCATAACCCCTGATATTCCTCATCTCTGAGAGAGCAGGCTCCCTCTTAAAGCCCCACCCTTGGAGTATCATCATGGGATGCCTGGTCACCTGATCCATGAGCCCGAGCCCAAGGGAGATGGATAACTAGATGCAGGTGAGGCTAAGTCAACTCCCCCTAAACGGCCTGCCCACTATATTACAGTGACCTTTGCACTCCATGGTCTTGGGGTCAGATGGGGGCTCTTTTGGTCACTGATGTAAATTAGAGCAGCCCATGGCTTAATTGGACAGTATATGCCCCGAGAGGAGCCATTTCATTGGTCCAGGATTGTAGTGAACTCTGTCCATAGCCTCCCACCCCAGACCATCCCCTATGCTGGGGGACTAGAAGCAACAGGTGTAGAGCCATTTAGGGCACTTGTATGTTACCTGGATCTATCCTTATGCAATGGGATCCTTAGCTGGCAGCTTAAGCCAGTTTGTGCCCCATTTGCTCTGCCTTGTAATGTAGTGAAGCCACCATTTAAAAAAAAAAAAAATCACATGAGAGTCTCCCACTCTCCCACTAAGGATTGGGTTCCTTCATTTATTGTAAACCCAGAACACTGTACTCAGCTTGATTAAGCAAGCCCCACACACTGGAAATCTCTGGGAATGGAGGGAAAAGAATCCCTCTCCCACACCGTGGATATGAGAATCCCACCCCCACTCCATGGACAGAACCACAGATCCACTAGCTCCAACCCAGCTTCTTTCATGCCCCAAAACCACCTGAGCGGAGACCCCTGAATGGTTCTGCTGGATCAGGCCTCTTCTAAGCTGCAGAGAACAGGGCAGGATTTGGCCCACATTTACCAGTGCACTGAGCATACTATTTGCTTTGTGAAGTTCATGACTCCCTCCAGATACTACCGCATTGAGGAAGACATGAGCTCCACAGGCAACAGGGTTCCTCTCTCTTCCCATTTCCCTACAGAACTTTTGAGCACAAGTGCTCTTGGTGGTCCCCAATTGTCACTGCTTTTTACTGCCCTTTGCAGCTTAAGAACTATTCACAGGGATCCTTTCTTCTGCCCTGCATAGACTTTATAAAGCATCATCCAGCCTAATAGACCTTAAACAGTTCCCTGTCAAGCCCTGATAACTTTATCAAGTGAGCTTTCACTATACCAATCGGTATGTCTACTGAGTAGCCTCATATTCAGAGTAATGACCTGTAACTCAAAAACAGCTTGACTAATGTTATTTTTGCTTAGCAGAAAAACACAGTAGAGAGTCATCTTGCAACGAAATCCATTGTAACAAACCAGTACTAGATAGAACATGCAAACCTGCGACTAGAACTGGGTCTTTTATCTCCAAAGACTATAGCTTCAATCACCTGAGCTAGGGGAAAAACCTTTTCTAGTCTCTCTAAACTGCCACCAATGGACAAATTGCTCATACAATATTATACACACTGTAACCATTACAGTTAGTCACAGTCATTAATAACTTTGCTTAATTATAAGCAATTTTCTTCAAATATAGCCAATGCATCTGGTCTCAAGGAGATTTAACTATGTGGATGGTTTGAAGATGTAGCAACAAGTCATTTTTGCAAACAGGACACACAAATTAGATACAAGTCAAAACTTCAAATCAAAATACTTAATGACCTGTAAGTCAGAATCAGTTTGACCAATTTCCCACAAACTTAGTATGAGAATTCTTCTTAATCTTCAGAGTAACTGTTAGCCATTAATTAGTATTAGTAGTGGTCAACAGTGCCTTTTCAGGAGAAAAAAGTTGGAGTTATTTCTATGCATGAATAGTTTAATTTTACTGTGTACAATAATCTCTGTATCCAAACTGAAATCATTCTTTCAAAAATTGTTTTCTTTTCTTCTTTTCATTGACGAGCCTGCCACTATACATACTGTAAGAACAACAAACCTGAAAAACACAGTTTTGGCAAATAAAAATGATCTGAGAGTTAATAGTAGTAGTAGTTTTTCCATCTGCTACTCTGTTTATTACTGACCTTCGCAACAGTCCTGCCACAATCTCAAATCAATCTTTGGTATCTCACTGCAGCTCATGTATCCCTGAGGGTAATCTGCCTTTAAGAAGACATCAGGCTGGACCTGCTGGATGTTGTCCCCATTGTCACAGAGTACACGTGCCAAAGAGGCCTGCTTCAGCTGAGTGAGTTGTGCCATTGTAAACACTCCAGGATTTTCATACCAAAACCTAGTCAGCAGGCAAAAAGATAGGACATCAGGGATCTGCTGCCTGAGAATAAACAGCATGTCAAACAGTGATAATGAGGCAAAGATAAGAGCAGACAGAGAATGCACCATATGGAAGGGATCACATTTGTTCTCCAATTAAATTTACTTTAATGGCTTTCATGTTTTATCAAATTCTTAAATGTTATGATCTTGAACTGTTACCTGGGGTATGTCTACAACACTGCAAATGGAATTGTGACTGCAGCATGCATAGACATACTGAGCTAGCTTTGATCTGACTAGCTTAAATAACAATAGCAGTGAGGCCCCAGCCACACAGGCAGCAGCGCAGGCTGTACAACTCCACCTGGGACCCAGGGTATATACTCAACTGGCTAGCCAGTGCTGCTGCAGCAGCTTCACTGCTACTGTTATTCCAGCTAACTAGATGAAAGCTAGCTCAGGTATGTCTACATATACAGCAGTGTAGATGTAGACTGCAGTGTAGATGTACCCAGAGTATAGAGACTGGGCATACATGATGATGAAGCATGTTACCAAACTGGAGTTCCCAGCATTTCCTGTATCATAAATAAATGTTTCAAATTGTGCAGCATTCTGACATTCAGCGTTCAAATGTCAGCATTCTGATATTTTATATAATTGAAAATATCAACATACCAAAAAAAAACCCAACCAAACAGCAGCATATAAGTGACAAGAATCATGCCTGCCCCAAATTAGTCTCATGATAGGATCTCATATCCCATTCTCCCTCTGCATCTCCTTATATGTTTGCTAATTTCAGGCTTCAATCTGAGAAGGGCTGAGCTGAGATCTGGTTGAAATGTTTTCAGTCTTCTTAGCATATGCACAACATGCCTAATGTGGCACATGACCAGGATTCTTTACTGAATTTGGTCCGCTACTTTTTTCAGTTAAGAGAGCTTTTAAATGGCTTTTTACAAATATTTTTTCATGTAAAACTATCGATCTCGTTTGAAACATTTGTTTTTTGTGAAAAATGCCATGGTATAATTTTTTTCTAAAACTTATTAAAAACATGTTTAAAATAGAAAGCCCTATTGAAATGGTTAATGACATTTATCATTTACCAATACCCAGCACACAAACTATTTCAATAATATTTGTAAAAAAAAAAGTTTGTTTTAATTGTGAATATTTTCAAATAAATGGAAAAATGGATCCATTCCAAATCCTTAGAAATGAAAAAAAGCATGAATCATATTGCAAAACAAAGACAAAGCCCTTATATTATAAGCTCTTCATGACAGGGACAGTGTGTTCTAACATGTTAGTAAATCACCATGCACTTCACAGTACTGTGCTATTTAAATAAATAAGTAAATAATAGCTTTTAAAATGCTAAATGCATATGTTTCACTACTCTCCTCTCTTGAGATGAGACAGATTTGCTTAGCTCTTCTAGGTCTAACTCCTTATTTAAAAAAAAATAATTATTTTAAATTTTTGTTTTTAAAAATATCACATTTTATTGTACTGCAGAGAAGTCATGGAAACAACAAAGGGTTTATTCCCGGATCTGAACTGGAGGATATACACTAGTACTGGAGCGTTCCACAAATGAGATAAATACTGCTCTCAACCCTCCCCCATCTCGCTAGGGAAGTTTGGTTGGACCAGCAGTGGAGTGGGTCTGGTGAGTACTTGTGCACAGCCATGCTGGAGCACTTCCCCTCCATGCACACTCCTGGTGCCTCAGAGTGCATGTAGGAAATGTGCCTTCAGGGAAGGGGAAAGTGTTCACCTCCTCCCTCTGCTTCCCATTGGCTTGCTCAGGGTGTGTATGGGGTAGCTGATTGGCTCTCTTGGGCGCCAGCGACCTTCCGTACTTCAAACCCTGCTGGGGCAGACAAGGTAGAAGTTTGCATTCCTTGCAGCATCATGGATGTCCGTTTTTAGTTTATAGGAATAAGAATAGGAATTGAGTATTAGAAAACAATCTGGAAATGTCTAGTGGGTACTGTGCAGACAAAAGGCTGGAAGGGCCAGCTTCCAGAGGAAAACAGTACAAGACCCAGGATATGGCTGGTGTACCTACTAGCCTATAGGGAAGGAGATACCTTAAGTGTTCAGGGATTGAGGTATCCTTTGGAGAATCATAATTCCTCCTCATGGGTGGGAATGGCAAGATCATTTAGACCTGGGCTGAGACTTAGGGTTAAGCTGAAGAAGATCAGCTGAAATGGCTTGGTTATATGACATGAGGCCATTTAACCATGCACTGTATCCAATAAAATGTCTTGAATTCAAGGAGCATGAAGGCGGTTGATAGCCCCCTTTGGTTAAAGTTATAAAGTTGCAGCCTGCTTCCTTAGCATCCATCCCTGTTTCATTCACCTGCACGTCCTGATCAATACCAATAACCTAAAATATATGACAGCTTTTTAATTTTAGATTTAGTAAACACTGGCAACAAGGGCAAATGATTACAGGGAAAGGGTTAGAAGCTTGTCTACTGTCCTACAAATATCTCTGTACAACTATAAAGAAATTAGTAAAAAAAAAATCATGTAAATCTAAAATCATTTAGTTTTAACATTTCTTCACTTTTGCTGTCAGCTGATAAACTGTAGCTGATTTACCAGTTTAACAGTAAAAAGCTCCAGCCTCCTTAGATTCTTTCAAGCCTCAGTTATGATGGACTCAAATACTATCGTACGCTATGTCAAATCTGAGGTATATGCGTGTAGGCACCCTTTATTAGCGCGGCCTCTGAACTTCATTTCTAGTGTTCCAGTTGGGAAAATCTTGAGCACTGCAATCCAGCCATGGAGACTAAAACTCCCATGATGCCTTGGGTGAAGAGAGAATGCCCACACGCGGTGGGCTCCATTTTGGAAAGGTGCTGAGATTGTTTTAGTGGAGCTCTGTCCATAGATGCTGCTAATCTGCTGTCAGGAAGCCAGAAGCTGCTGCTGAGAGCCTGCTGGAAAGATTTTAAATAGGGAGCCTCAGGTGTGGATGGTGGATTCACTGGACACAGGGCAGAGATTGTTGCTGTGCCTAGAGCTAACTGAGGTTGACTTGTAGTGACGTCAGTATGAGTAACCACCACCCTTGTTTGGGAAAGTGCTTGCAAGAGAAGGGGACAGCAAAGAGACTTTAAGGGGTTGTCTGAGTCTGAGAGGAGGCAGAGTGGTCTTCTCATGGAACCAGAACCCAGGGTTGCTGACATTTGGTTAAAACAACTCCAGTCTTCAGAGAGGGGGTGCAGCTTGGCATGATCCCAAATTAGAATTGTTCTGCCCCTTGTTGCCTTGGCTGGACTGATTCACCAGACCACCAGAGTGCTGTCTCCAGCTTCAAGATCTTCAAGTGCACCCATGCAAGGAAGAGTTTAGAACTCTAAAATCCAGAGGAGTGTACCCTCGGGGGAGGTAGAAGGTTGCAGTGTAAATGCAAGTTTCCTCTACTACTGAATATTGTATTTGTTAATTGATTTATTGAACTGCCCCCTGCTGATTTAACTGAGTAGTCACATTCAATCTCAGTCTGTTATGCCATGTTTCCTTAAATTGTTTAGTAAAGGTGTGTTAACTTTAATCTAAATGTATAATGGTGTATATTGTTTTATAATTGGTATTCTTAAAGTAGACCCATTGCACAGATTAGCTCAGGTCTATTCCTGGAGCCTCCCAAGGCACACCATTGAGTGTGTACAGGGCCCAGCCAGATGGAGGCCCCACCTATTTTAATTCCCTTTACAAGTAAAATGACTGCAGCAGAGGGATGGAAAGAGGATTTCCACCTATCCAACATCTCTACTGGGAGACTCAGGATCTCATTTACTGTCAACAACATCAGGTGCCTGGACACATAGGTGAGTGTTGCCTGCTCCCAAGTAACCCAGGGAGGAAAGGATGATTACATTTGTATGGCATTATTAGATTAGCATTTTATGGACACAACTATCATGCAAACCTGATTACCTATCTCCATCCCTGAGACGTTGAAACTGAGTGACAAAAAGGCACATTAGGGTTGGTCCCACTCTTGTACCAGGAATCAGGTCCTCCACCATCAGAGCTGGCCAAAAGTCGATGTTCAGTGGTGTACCATACAGCCTAGAAAAAGAATCCAGGTAAAACTCACATTACAAACATGGCGCTAGATTGGCATTTTGCTTCAGGCTAATTCTCTTTGGAACGTAGGTGTTTTTACAGAGGTTACTTAATCATTACAAACTTTTTTTGAAAGTCAAAACACACACAATGATTTCTCATCAAAAGAATTCTTATGATCTCACAACCTCCAAAAATGTTTTTGACCTGCTCACTAGGCAGCTTCTCAGATTTAAGATTTCAAAATGTGTCTGAGAGACAGTGAAAAAAAATATTGGGATGAGTAGATCCAGCTCCGACCCAACATTGCCTTCCTCTTTGAACACTAAACAGAATAAATATACATTTTTCAGCTACATTATTTTAGTAAAGAAAACAGCAGTTCTAGTCAGGGCCGGCTCCAGGCACCAGCCCAGCAAGCAGGTGCTTGGGGCGGCCAACGGAGAGGGGCGGCATGTCCGGCTCTTCGGCGGCGGGTCCCTCAGTCCCTCTTGGAGCGAAGGACCTGCCGCCGAATTGCCGCCGAAGACTGAAGCGGCAGCGGTAGAGCAGATCGCGATCGCGGCTTTTTTTCTTTTTCTTTTCTTTTTGCTGCTTGGGGCGGCAAAAACCCTGGAGCTGGCCCTGGTTCTAGTGGATTTGGAATCTAAAAAAAAAAAATTGCAGTATATTAATAAGGAGACAAATCACTTTGTATCTAGATCAAGTGTTAAAAGACATAATATTTCTAGTCTGTAAAACTAGAAAGCCAGTGCCTCCCGTATTCTTTAGTTTTAAACTGACTGATTATTTTAATGAAACTGTTTCTCTGGTCAAACTGTATGGGGAGACTTTGGCAAACCAGTAAAGTGCTTAAAACCACTATGGCTTATTGTTAAAAAGCAACCTAGTCAGCAGGCTGTAAAGTGGCCATGCAGTTTGACCAAGGCAGGACGGGAGGGGGGTTTAGGGTGCCTCAGAAAGGGGAGCTTGACCCCGAGTCCCTCCTCATAAGAATTGTGTTAAAGTCGCTGATACATGTGTTTTAAAAGAATAGAATATGCCCCAGGAATGTCTATTAGGTCTCAAGGTTGCAAGTTCTGAAAAAACCCACACCTGGTTAATCAATAATCAGAAGGAGCCTCTTGCTTGCCCAGTGGAACTGTTTGCGTGACAAGTTTTCTTTAAGGGATATGTCATTGTATTACTGATGTATAAATAAGGGGAAAAAGCTTGGTGGGACTAAATAAGGTGGGACTCTCCTTTGCGGGGGACTCTTCAGGACTGGTCTCTCCCTCTGGATGCATCTTGTGTTCCCCACCGGCAGATGGGCTGCCACTGTGCCACTCGAGAGCCACACTCAGCTTTGGTAATTATCAAAGGTTGGGGGTGTTTTACTAATCTTGTTGCGGACGTGTGTAAGTGCTTGAGGCTAAGTAAAGTTTAGCTTTAAGTAAAAGCACTCTTGTGTTGTCCTGTTTGTGCCAGCCATCTATCGGTCGGACGGCTGTGTCTCCCCTGATTTATTTCCTAACATCTCCTCGCACAGAGTAAAAGTTACCAAGAGCTTTGGGTTAAAAAAACCCCGGGTAACACTACATACTGCTTTGATTTTTAATTATATGAAATCCAAGAAAGGATCTCGGAACACTGCAATTTAATGATTAATGTCGTTCATTAACATGGATAATAAGTACACCTCTACCCCGATATAACGCTGTCCTGGGGAGCCAAAAAATCTTACCACGTTATAGGTGAAACCGCATTATATCAAACTTGCTTTGATCTGCTGGAGTGCGCAGCCCCGCCACTCCCCTCCGGAGCACTGCTTTACCACGTTATATCCAAATTTGTGTTATATCAGGTCGCGTTATACTGGGGTAGAGGTGTAGTTGCCAGAAGATCAGGAATAGAAATTATACAGGAGATTTTCTACGTCACAATCAAAGTAGATATATTTCTAAAGTGTTCCTAAAACATCAGACGATGTGGATTTTTAGTAATCACATTCAGCAAAATAAAGGTATCAAATATCTGCTATTGCTCTTGATGCAAAGAAGACCAGCAATAGGGCAATCTTGGACTATTTATTATTTTTATTTGTATTACAGTAGCATCCACAGTGTGTGAGGCACTGTTCAAACACACAGGGCCTGATACAAAGCTATTGAAGTAAATGGCAACCATTCTAAAATGGATTTTAGATCAGGCCAATAAGGAGCCACCCAAAGAGCTCACAGCTCAAGAGAAACACAGTGACAGGTGAAGAGTGTTGGAGAGGGGTTATACATATAATCACATTTCTTCATTATTTTTATGAGGCCTTTCCTGCTTTGAAAGTACTTTTCTCTTTAAGTAAAGCAATGATGGAGACCTAACATTTATGTCTTATTTATCCTAGCTCAGAAAGACACACACAGGCCAGGTTCTCTGGTGCTTTTCAGACACTTTGTGCTGCTCACGAGGCGGAAAGGTGTTGCAACCTAGTCACAAATTCCCAACAGAAAATTCATCTGGCATATGGAAACTACCTGCTGGGCATAAATATTCCACAGGTAGGTCTGCACCTCTGTTCACTCGCAGCACAGGGAGCGTGGCAGGACAGAGCTGAGCAGAGCATCACTAATCCTCCACTGATGCAGGTTTCTCATTAAAGACCTGTACATCAGTAGCAGAAATTAGAATATTCCAGCAGCAGCTCTACCAGTGGTGTAGGAGCCAGGGACAACCTTCAGAGTCAAAGAGCCAGTCTTTGCCCGACCCCTGCCCATCCTGCATCCCCCTCCTGCTCTGAGCAATGCTCTGATGCGGAAGAGAGCCCATTCTGTTATCTAGACTTGATACGCTCATCACAGCTTCTTGACTATGTCCATTCAACTGAGTATGCTCTAGGAATTATTTTGGGGGAGTTCTATGGCCAGTGTTATACAGGAGGTCAGACTAGCTGATCACCGTGGTCCCTTCTGGGCTATGAATCTATGAGTAACAGTGTAGGATAGATATAGCATTATTTTGGGCGGTGATTGCTTAGAAAGGATATATAAACTAATGGAATTACTTTATTTTTAAATGGAACAATATGGTTTCTTGATTTATATGTTCACATTTATAGCTGGCTATTTTCTCAAATAAATCATTAGTAACCCCATAATAAATATCAAAGCCAATTTGCAGCTTTAGGGACTGACCACCTCCCATTAAAGTCCATGGAAAGAGTCCCATAGACTTTAGTTATTTGTGGATCAAGCCCTAAAGGATAAAGCTGTTAATTTATAGTCTTTTGTTATTGACAAGCAGGGCCGGCTCCAGGCACCAGCAAAGGAAGCAGGTGCCTGGGGTGGCCAATGGAAAGGGGCGGCACGTCCGGGTCTTCAGCGGCGGGTCCCTCAGTCCCTCTCAGAGGGAAGGACCTGCCTCCGAATTGCCGCCAAAGAATGAAGTGGTGTGGTAGAGCTGCCGCCGAAGTGCCGCCAATCACGGCTTTATCTTTTTTTCTTTTTTTTTTGGCTTCACCGCTTGGGGCGGCAAAAAAGCTGGAGCCGGCCCTGTTGACAAGTATTCCAACTAGCACTTCTCACAAATGTACTTCTGGGAACAACATGCCTGACAGACATTTTTCTTTGTTAGGTGGCCTGAGGTTTATCTTGCATTTCCTATACATATATTATGCTATTTCTATTTGTAACATTTTCTGTTATAGGACTTGTTCTCACTTATGACTGTGAGCTAGTCCGAGTTTTCTGTAATAAGGCCAATTTCTGTTCTGAATTTTCACCATGTTCATCTGCCTAAGAAAAAAAACCCCTATATTGTCACAGCACACAAGCAGCACAATATTATATTTCTACATGGAGTTTCTTCTTCCAGCAGCTGGGTTTTCTACATCCCTTTATCTGTCTTTGAGGATCCTTTTTGTTTCCCCACCCTGTCCCCCATCTCAACTGAAGACTGAATGGGTTTCATTGGTTTCATCAATGTTACACCTGATTGGAGAGGATCATTGTTCAGTAACCCACGACAACCCACCCCCTTCCTCCTCTAGAAAGCAATGCAGAGCACTCAGTCTGTACTGGCCCAGAGAAATGAGACCAGAGAAAAGTAGTGCTCTTTGTGCAAGATAATTACTGCTAATTCTGCTCTGAAACACCTTAATAACAAAGCTGTAAGGATTTCTTACACCAGGTACTTGTTCTAGATTACTTTAGTTAAAACCACTACTGTCTTGAATTATTCCTAACATTTTGTTCCTAATATGTTATTGACAAAAGAGGAAAGAACTAGAACAACAGGCCTCTTGGGGAACAATTAAAAAAAAAACAGAGGGAAGATGATTATTTTTCTCAAGAGCATTTTCCCACTACTTCGGCTCAAGTTCTAACAATAATTACACTGAAAAAGATGTTGGGAGGGTGGACATGGAAGGCAACAGTGCGTGGAGCAAGAGGGAGTGGGGAAAGGAGTGTGAGAATGAAAACTTTTCTTTTGAAAAAGACTTTATCAGCTTGTTGACTTGATTCAAACTTGTTAGCACTAAGACCTGAGATTATAATATTAGCTCAAATGAGGAAAATTGTATGGGGATATACAGTGCTTAAAAATCATAACTGAATAAGATAAGTGACTCTTCAGGACTTTTTTTAAGCTACAAAACTAACTGAAGTCCTGAAGTCACACTGGATAAATGAATGTCTCTCTACTGGAAAAACAGAAGAGATGACAAACAGAAATAGTCAAAAGATATGTAACGTTTCTGGGCCAAGACTGTAATAACTGGGTAGGTGCCTGAAGTCAATGAGATCTGCTGGGTTTTCAGCACTTTTAAAAGACAGACCCACTTATTTATGGATTCAAAGCTTAACTTTAGGAATCTCTTTTCCAAAATCTTGGCACAAGAGACTACAGTACTTAATGGATAAACTAACATTCAGAGTACATACTCACAGTTCTGAAGTAACAGAAACACAAACATGAATAAATACAATTTAGGAATAACAATATGTAAGGGAAAATTACACTAGGAAATAAAATATAAAATGATTATGGATTACTGAAGGAAAAAAAAGACATTTTACCTGGGATAAACGTGTAACAATTTGCAAATACTTTTTGGGCTGCAAATTTGCCATGAGGGTATAAAAATCATATTTACTACTACAAATGACAGCATTTCCCCATGAAAAATTAATGGACTTACATGTAAATGTTTCTGCATGTGAGAGTGTGAAAGTGAAAATCAATAGATCTAGTTATAAAAATGGGCTTTAATGAAAACTCCAGATCTGAGCCCTGAACTATGGGGAAGGGAGTGAGATCAAATTTTGCAACTGAATTTGACAGCCAAGTTTCCATCTCTGTTTACAAGTACCACATACAATGGAACTGTGTTGCTAAATGTTGACCACTTTGGCTCTTAGCACATTCTCAGATGATTTAATCTCTTTTGGTCTTCATTATTGGAATAGGTGATTGTGCAATCTTCATCTTGCTCAGAAGCCTGCTGTAGTAGGATTCTGAAACTTGCAACCGCGGTCTACATGTTTTAGCATCCTGACACTGGCTGCTCAACAAAAATATTCACTTTTATATTTTGGTTTTGACCTGCCCAGTGTGTTTCTGACATCTAGACACATTTCATTCAGCTTATGTTCCACATTGTCACCTTTTAAAGTTTCAATTTTTAGTCATAGAATCCATTGAATGACAGATTTCTGTGCTTATGTTCCTACTCATTGAAATGAATAGCTTATCTCAAAATGCAAACCAAAATGCCTTATCTGTTTTTAAGTCACATCTTAAAGCTTTCTTGTTCACTGTTGCATTTTTATCAGTAATGATAATTGTTTTTGTTTTATACACTTTTCTGCACTTTGAAACCAATGATGCGTACAGTGCTACATAAAAAGCAGTAGTGCTGTATATTTTTTGTGTAGGATTATACAATTTTAGATTCCAATTGCAGTAAATAAATTACTTACACATTCAATATGAATACTTTTGAGTACATTTTATTTGCACAGTAGGGACTCAATGCACAGTATTGATTCACATAGCATTACTGTATTTTCCACTCCATGCATCTGATGAAGTGGGTTATATCCCATGAAAGCTTATGCCCAAATAAATTTGTTAGTCTCTAAGGTGCCACAAAGACTCCTCGTTGTTTTTACTAGTACTAGTGTTTCAGATGGAATTAAATTCAGGGCTGTTAGCTACGCTGCTATTTTTAGTCCACTAGCTCAATCAGAACTAGCATGGGTATGTCTGTCCAAGCTGGAAATTACACCTCAGCTTCAGTGCAGACGTTCCCTTAGAGAACGAGAAACTAACTAGCCATGCCATTGACCTCCCCCATGCTTTTTACAACACAAAGGGAAGGTTGAGTCGCTATTTATTTTGTCAAGCTCTCGAGAGATGATTATAAACAATTATTACTTCCTTATTTCATCATATTTAGAGGCTGGTGAAAGAAAACATAAGTTTAAAAAATCTGCCATACTGCATTATCTCTATAATGTGTTATATATGTTAAACACCTCTGCAAGCCATGTACAGCTAGTGAGACTTTATTCTAGTAAGAAGGGTTACATACATTTTCTTGGAAATGCTCAGAGCCTTCATAAAAAAAAAAATCAAATCCCTATATTTCTCCATAAACATAAGCAAAAGGATAGAGCACCAGTCACCTTAGGTCAACAGTTTGATTCCAGCTTAGGTCAGGGATGACAGAAAATCATTACCATCTGACTACTGTTTGTTAGCCTACATGGAATGAGTTCATCATCACAGTCCACTTCCAAATGCACAGGTGTTTCCATCAGAAAAACCAATAGTGTTAGTCAGGAGGGCACTAATTATCAGTATCATTGGGAGTCCAACAGAGAAGCAAATAGGCATGAAAAATGACCTATCATTTCACTTTTAATTATGGTCCCTCCAAGTTAGGGTTGAGGCACGATAGAGAGACTAGAACCACATTAACACGGGGAAATGCTTTCTGCTGTACTCATTCTGCAACAGATCTTTAGTAAGGTCAATCTAGCATTTGCCATTTAAATTATTATTATTTATACCACACAACCAACAACCTTTCTGTTTGCTTGACTAAACAAAAGCACTTTCAAGCTAGTATTAGACATAACATCACTGGGTTGGGGGGAAACAAGACAGTAAGGAGGAGACTGCAGGAGGAAAGATGGGGGCAACTCATCAGTGAGATAATATTGGAACTCATTGAGGACTAATGTACTATTTGGTGGAAATTTGTTCCATTACCAGATCATCACAAATTAATATCTCTGCTGACTCATTTGTTGACTAGGCCTCACAACAGCTGTGGGTCCTGAGGAGTAATTACAGTGATCAGATCAGTGTCCTTGTGAACTAGCTTAGGAAGGGGATTCCTCATGTAAAGAGTTCAGCATGGAATCAGCCCAGAAACAGTTGTGGGAGAAGCAGATAAGCCAGGCATCAAGAAAGAAATGAAAGAATGGCGTGTTTGACAGTAGGTGGGGGAAGCAGAGAAGATTTCAGAGGACAGATAAGGAGTTTTGCTTTGTCCATATTAAATTTAAGTTGATGGCAATACATCAGAAGTAGATGTGAGATAAATCATGTGAGATGCAGGACTAGGTGAGGAGTGTCAGATAAAGAGTAGAGAGGTAGCTCTGGTCTTCTTCAATGTACAGACAGTAGCTAGGAGTATGTGAGCACACGAGATCACCCAAAGAAAAGGCATACAAATCAGAAGAAGAAGGAGCCAAAAACAGAGCTCTGCTGGACTCCACAGTAAAAGGGAGAATAGAGGAGAAGCCACCTAAAAGACACTGAAAGGGTGATTAGAGAAGAAGGAGAACCAGTAGAAGACTGTATAAAAAAAAAGAAAGGATAAGATGCTGAGAAAGAGGATATGATCAACACTGTCAAACACAGCTAAAAAATTAAGGAGGATGAGGATGGAGTAGAGGTCTATAGATTTGGTCAAGAAAAGCTTGTTAGAAATCTTGTGCAAGCAGTTTTGGAGGAGTGGAAAGGGTGGAAGCCAGACTGGGGGCAGGGGATCCAGGATGGAGATGATGGAAAGGAACTCAAGTAAAGAGCTATAAATGGCTCATCCAGTGTGTTTAGAGATGGCAGGAAGGAAGGAAGGAAGGAGGAGAATAGCTGGAGAGATAAATAGGACTGAGGATGGGGAAACCTTATGATGCTTGTATGTTGAAGGAAAGAAGCCAGAGGAGAATGACAAGTTAATTAGAAGAGTAGATGAGAGGTTAAAAGTGGGGGTAAGAGAGTGCAGATGGGAGATGAATGGGGTCAAAAACGTAGGTGGAGCACTTGAGGAGAGCAGGCAAAAAATGTCAGTGACAGTTATTGGGAAGAAGAAAAAGGGCTGAGAAAGGCTGAGGGAAGATAGAGGAAGAGAGATAGAGATCTGGAAGGAGGGAGATCTCATCAATCTTGTCTGAAAAAACAAGAAAGGAAATTGCATGGAGAGGGAGAGAGGTGTGTAACTAAGATTTTAAGAGGGAGTTTGCAGTTAAGCAATTTTAAAACCATTTAAAAACCAGACTTGCCATGGCCTCTGATGAGACATTAAGATATAGTATTAACTGCCATGTATCACACACAATAAGTGTATTTTCACTAATACTCACTTTTTCAGCTTTTCTCTAATCTTTGGCTCTTTAATCTCATTGTGAAGATCCTCAAACTTCTCAACTGAGGTTAAATTACAGAAAACCCTATAGTCAACGTATGGAGGAATCCCATGGTCACGCCCCCTCTGGATATTCGTAGCTGCCAGATCCAGAGCCACTGAGTGTGCCATGGAGAAAAGCCTCTCGGTCAGCTCCAGGTTCAAAAGCTGAGAAGATACTCGCATTTTACCAGCAACGCCAAAAAGGCCACGCAGGAGTGGATCAATGCCACCTTCCTGGATTATCCGGAATGGTGAAAAGAAAGCTTTGTGGAGTGGAAGATGGCCTTGTGGGATTTCTCCAAAGGTCTCATTCAAGCGATAAAGAATCGGATTGATCAATGTGTGGCCAAACCTAAAAGCTGCAGTTGCAAAGGCATTAATAATCCCGGCATTCACATTGGGGTTATAACCTTTGTAGTCACCCATCATCTTCATGCCATGGTCACCAAGGATCTTGGGTAGCCAGTGGCTATAGGTAATATGTTGCATCTGCGCACCAACAATCTTTCTGACTTCATTGTAAATAGTATCTCCATCCCAGTGTGGGTTCATTTTCAACAGTGCCCTTGCTATGCGGTTATGTTCACGGAACCACAATGTGTGCATGGCTGTGAGGCCCAGCTGCTCATTGGCTCGGTGATCTCCTGCAAGGAAGCAAGGTATAGAGCTTTCATTTTCATCTCTTGTGCATTCAGTCGGGGGACCTGTGGCAAATGGTAATAAGTGCTTTCCAGAAGATGGGACAAGCAGGCCTTCCTTGAGGAGACCATGTTGATTTGTATTATCCCTTAACTCTTCTGATTCCCTGTCAGAGCTTCCATAAATGTTAGAAGCATCGATATATGATGTTAGATGGTTTATCTGCTCCCTTGCATAGACTGAATTCATTATTAAAGAGGTCATCCCACTTCCACAAACTGGGCTTGAGCGAACAAACAACATGCATTTAGAATTTGTCACTCGGGGATCATTCTGAGGAATAATGATGGGGAAGCAAGGTGGATCATTAGTACACACTGAGCTACAAGACTGTCCATCAGAAAAACGAGACATACTCAGTGCAGGCACTGTCTGATCCAAGTCATGGTCTAAAAACTGGCCCCACTGCATGAGCATATGCGTGTACCTATCATCAGGAGTTATGGTCTCTGTACCAATCATTTCTGTTGAAATAAGCCTTGGTAGTGGAAGAGGATAGCCATTATACAAAGAGTCATGACTGACACTCCTGGGTAAGTTAAAGCCATTTTCGTACACAGGTTTAAGGATCCGTTCGAAAGCAATCAAAGAGGCACCCCACATTGGGTGCTGTAGGTTGTTGCATGTTCCATCGTAGCTTCTGTACTTTTGATGGAAACAGATGTCAGAGCAGTTTGGGAAACGCCTGTGAGCTGTACATCCAGAGAGATTGGCAATCAGACTGAGGTAGTGTGGGGAAACCAGGTCATTGTAGCGAAACTCTGAAACACAACATTTGAAGAAATTAATTGATCTCATATAAAAGAGAAGTGTAAGAATCCATGCAAGATTCTTAAGTTCAATAGTAATTAATGGTGTTTATACCTGGATAAAAGTCTCTTTATCTTAAAGTGTTTGTCATGATATAGGCCTTACTGAATTTCTGATAGACTGTGGGTCTGCTCCTGCAGAAGTTAATGGCAAATCTCCCACTAACTTAAACAGCGGTCAGGATTGGGCTGTGGAGGAAACACTGAAGCGATAGCAACAACAGCTAAAGTGGGGCGTGATGTGAATACCAGAGAGGGCTAAAAAATAATATACAGAAATGCTAAAACTCTATAAAATAGGTTTGAAATATGGGCAGGTAACAACCAACTGATATTTAAGATGGAAAATGCAAGCTAATATAGCTGGAAGATGAGGGAGGAGGGAGAGAAGCCTTATCAATGGGAGGCAGATATTTGGAAGGCAGTAATGCTGAAAGAGGACTAAGAGTGATAGTGCAAATTAAATTTGAGCTAGCAATGCAACATGAGAGCAAAAATATGATTTTGTTTCTGTTTTTAAAGCAGAGACATTGTCATGGACTAGGGAGGTAATAATCGCTGATGAAACCAGACCGAGAATACTGCATTCAGTTCTTGAACCTGAATGACAGAAAGTTTTAGATAAACTGGAGAAAATTCAGAGAAGAACTGACAATATTTAAAGGGCTGAAGGGATTGATTTATGAAGAAAGATAAAAAGAAATTTAATAGCTTGGCCAAACAAAGGCTAACGGGGATATTAGAACTGTCTACGAGTATTTGGCGGATAGAAACATCAAAGAGAAAGAATGCACCAGGGGATGAGAATAAACTGATAGGAGGAAATTGGGCAAAGGAACACACAGGGTGAACATTAGAAAACTGTTTTTAAACAGAAAAATATATTAGCCTACAGAAGACACTCCCACTGAAGATGTCAAGTGTCAGAGGGGTAGCTGTGTTAGTCTGGATCTGTAAAAAGCAACCAAGAGTCCTGTGGCACCTTATAGACTAACAGACGTATTGGAGCATAAGCTTTCGTGGGTGAATACCCACTTCGTCGGATGCAGTGGGTATTCACCCACGAAAGCTTATGCTCCAAGACGTCTGTTAGTCTATAAGGTGCCACAGGATTCTTTGTCACTGAAGATGGTGAATGATCCATCATTTCAGTAATTTAAAATTGAACTGAATAAAACACTGGAAAGTATACTATAGGAATGAATCTGAGATTGGCATGGGATAGACTACTGGTAGAAGTTTTTATATCCTCTCCATCTCTAATTTCTACAGTTCCATAAACCACACAAAAATACCCTGCATAAATCAGAATATTCTTTCAGTTATTTATAATTTTTTCACTACTGAAAACAGTCCTCTAAAGCTCTTCTACACATTTCCATTGTAGCTCAATGTACGTCAGTGCCACATCCTGCCCACAATACATTTCTCTTGTAATAAACTCCATTACAAAATGTACGTTACTAAGAAATTGGGTAAAGGGGAGACTACAGCAGGTCATACTGAAAGGTGTACTGTCAGTATGGAGGGAGGTTCCTAGTGGATTGGTCTTGTGACCAATCTTATTTAACTTTTTAATTAGTGATCTTGGCCCAAAAATGGGAGTATGCTAATAAAATTTGGGATGACAGAGAGTTGGGAGATATTGCCAATACAAAGGAAGACCAGAATATCAAACAAGATTTGGATGACCTTAAAAACTGGAGTAATAGAAATGGGATGAAATTTAATAGTGCAAACCGCAAGGTCATGTACTTAGGTAGTTGTGACAGAATGTATCCCGTGTCCACACCCTGAACACTATTGCAATAATCTTTATACAAAGTATGCCTTGTGAGATATTTAAAAACTCAATTTGCTGACCAATAATATCATGGCAAAATACATGTAGCAGTGTTATATGTGAAGCTATAAACATAAGCTGAGATCATGACTAAAAGTATGTTTTCTGGAGAAGGGAGTGGGCCAAACCAGTTCCTCAGAGACAAAGAGCAAGCTGATGCCTCAGCCAGGTGTAAACAAGGCTGATAGGCCATTACTTGCTAGGTGGCCATTCTTTGGCAGGAAAGGGGACAAGGGCAAAAATATCTACCTCTTAGCAAAGAAACAGCATGCAGTTGCCTTCCACACAGACTGCCTGTTGCCTTTCTCCCAGCTGGAAATGCTTCTCAAAACGGGCAACAAACTATAACAAGATACCCCAAGGCACCCCTTCTCTTCCTCCCTTTCTGTCCCCCGATTCACTGAACAAAATGGGACAAAGGAAGCAGCCATTAAACAGAAGAAGGGGTCCTGGCCTAAGAAGCTTAGCCAGTAAGACTGTTGAAAGCATGTGGAGAGAAAAACTTTGCTTTGACTTTAACATAGTTTGGTAAATTAGACATTAGTTGTGTTTTATCTTTATTTTTCTTGTAACCATTTCTGACTTTTATGCCTCATTACTTGTATTCACTTAAAATCTATCCTCTGTAGTTAATAATTTTGTTTTATTGTTTTATCTAATCCGGTGTGTTTAAATTGAAATGTCTGAAGAACTAGTAAGATAGCATAGTATTCTTAAAGTAATAATGGACTGAATTTAATAATACTTCTATTGTCCTGGAGAGGGCTGCGCAGTACAGGACATATATTTCTGGGGGGAAATCTAAGAGAGTATGTTGGGGTCATCTTGCATTATAACTAAGGCTGGTAAGAGCCAAGGTGCGGCTAGCTGGCTGCAACACACACATAGACATAGTTAGAGGCTGTTTGTGAGAAGTCCAAGCTGGAGGCTACAGCTGCAAAGCAATGTAAAGGGAACCGCAGCTTAGAGGGTAGGGGTGATATGTCTACTCATTAGTCTGGACTGTACCATAGGTATGTCACAGTTATATTCTGCTATAAGTTGGGGAAGCAACAGAGTAGGAGCTGGAAGCAACAGAGTAGGAGAAAGACCTGGGTGTATTGGTTGATGACAGGATGACTATGAGCTGCTAATGTGATATGGCTGTGAAAAAGGCTAATGAAATCCTAGGATGCATCAAGTGAGGTATTTCCAGAAGAGACAGGGAAGTATTATTACCATTATACAGGGCACTGATGAGACCTCATGTGGAATACTGGGTGCAATTCTGGTTTCCCATGTTAAGAAAGATGAATTCAAACTGGAACAGATGCAGAGAAGGACTACTAGGATGATTAGAGGAATGTAAAACCTACCATACGAGAGGAGACTTAAGGAACTTAGCATGTTTAGCCTAACAAGAAGGCGGCTGAGGGGAGATATGATTGCTCTCTATAAATACATCAGAGGGATAAGCACAAGGAAGGGAGAGGAGTTATTTAAGTTAAAGGCCAATGTTGGCACAACAACAAATGGATATAAACTGTCCATCAACAAGTTGAGGCTTGAAATTAGATGAAAGTTTCTAACCATTAGAGGAGAGGGTTTCTGCGTAACTTTGGAGCTGTGATGTACCCTGCATCTATTCCCCCTGTGTTGGAGTCTGATCAACTCAGTGTAGCACTGCTGTATGGCAAATAAAGATACCTGCGTGACAAAGGCTGGAGTCGAACTGAGTTCTTGGGAAACGGAGTGGAAAGCGGTCTCGGAGGGAATCCCAACAAGGACTTCAGTAACTCGGCCAGAGGTTATAGCACTATTGCAGGAGTAGGTGGGTGAGGTTCTGTGCCCTGCAACTTATCGGAGATCAGACTAGATAATCATGATTGCCCGTTTTGACTTTAGTGTCTATGAGTTAGCCACCTCTGCAACAGCTTCCCTTTTCCATTTATATCCCTGTCCCGGACTAGCCATGTGAGAGGTAGGGAAACGGGTAATGCCTCACATGCTGGGTTGGAAAGGGATACACCTCAAACTTTCTTTGCCTCTGATTAACTCCAAGTTATGATATAATGGAGTGACAACATATAACCAATAGTTATCTAGTGGGACCAATTCTTTCAAAATACAATAGTGATTACATGGATGCATCCCTACTGTATGTGAATATGAATGGTGTAGATGAATTGCATTTAAATTATAATTTAAAACATAATAGCAGTAAAGAATAAACTCTAAGGTAAATGAGAGGAAGAGTGCTTTGGAGCAAATTACCTGGAATAAAATGATAAAATAATAATTTGTTTATTATGTTCTAATATTAACTACCCTGTATGGGAAAAAAAAAAACACATAATCCCTGAACTAGAAGTTCAGATTCCATCTGCACATGCAAAGTTGTTACTCCTCTGGATCTTTTATATTAAAAGATTAAAAAGTAACTTGAAAATAAACTCAAGGCAAAGATTGGTTTTATAGTAAATATACTTGTTATTAGTTCTGAGAAAAAAATAGCTGGAACAACTTCTTACTGAAAAAAAAACAACAGGTGCTGAACATCTGGCTCCTATACTAAAGCATTGCACAAGGAGTTTCAAACACTTATAACATTTGGTATATGAAAACAAAATGACATCAAAGGCTGTGAATATGGAAGGAAAATCACCTTTTATTTGTAAGAGCACAACAATAGCAAAAAAAAAAAATTAAGCACAGAATGTGATCACTGATAACAGCAAATCTTTAGTGTTTCTTGTGGTTAGTTTGTTTAAAATACCACCCAACACTTTCTCTAAATCCTATCTGATGTCACAGGCTTTGTACAAGAAATATCAATGACAGGTAATGTCAGTCACCCAACCTAATGTTTTAAAAAAGATGGACATAATGTATATTTGTGGAGAATGTGGGAATTATCCGCATTGTTCTGTATTAATTTTATATCTGTCTATGGGCTTGGTGGTTATTGTGTTGCTGGCTAAAAGGTATCTCAAGAGTTAAATCAGTTTGAGCTAGCTTTGAACTGCAGATACCAAAAGCTACTGGGTTCAAACAGCCATATTCACATGTCCATTGGACACAATAATTCCTTTGAAGCTTACCTCTGCAGATGTGGAATTGGGTGTAGCTA